CACATGTTCTCACTTATTGGTGGGAGCTAAAAAAATAAACAAATCAATTTACCCACAAACATACACAAAAAAAAACCGGGAGGAAAATTAAAAATAAAAAAAATTAAAAAAAATCTAGAAAAGACAAATCTAATCTACAGTAAGAGAAAGCAGATCAGCAGTTACCTGGAGCTAGTGATAGCGAAGTACAGTTTGACAGAGAAGGGGCACAAGGCACAATGTTTTGTATCTTGATCAATGAGGTAATTATTTACATGAGAAAATACATGTGTTGAAGCTCATCAAAATGTAAACAGAGTAGCATATTTTATTGTTATAAATTACAGAATAATAAAACGTTAAAATTTTTGGATAGCCATATAAAACAAGGTAAGTTGGATTCATACTTTACACTGTACATAAGATAATTTCTGAACAGTTCAGAGATTTAAATTTTTAGAAAGGAAATTATATGAATTCTAGAAGTAAAAGACAAATGAATTCTTTTACTACATGAGAACAGGGAAAATCTTAAAATCCAAAGGCAAAACTGAGGAGGAAAAAAAAGGGAAGAAGCTCAGAAACGATAAAGCTTCTTAAAACAAACAAACAAATAAGACCAACAGGAGAAAATCTTTGCAAGCTCAGAACATGCAAATACAGGAAACAAAAAAACAAGTATATAAGAAAAAAAAAAGATAAAATGTATTCCAAAATTTAAAACTTCTGCTCTTTCAAAGACACAAATGAAAATATAAGCTACAAGATTGTGAGAACACAGAATGAAAGACATATCTAACAAAGGACTTGTATCCATCCATATTTATAATTCAGTAAGAAAACAAACAACCTAATAATAAACGAAATGAGGAAAATCTTTGTATACTGATACACAGTAATTTTAGGACAGATGACATTTAAAAAACAAACAGAACACGCAATATGTTTTCTTTTGTGCATGATGGAAGAAAAATAAAAATAAATGTCAATAAGGGCTTGCTGGGTTGATCCTGCCAGTTTTAAAAAAAAAAAAGGTCAACAAGAGTACCTAGATAACTTAATGAGGAAAGAACAGTCTTTTCAACAAATGGTCCTGGAACAATGGATATCCATATGCAAGAGAATAAATATGGACCACTACCTTCATATCACACACAAAAATTAACTCAAAACGGATCACAAATGTTAAAAGCTAAACTATAAAACTCTTAGAAGACATTATAGGAGTAAATCTTTGTGACTTTGAATTATGCAATGTTACTTAGATATGACATCAAAAGCACCAGCAAGAAAAGAAAAAAACAGATAAATTGAACTTCAAAATTAAAAACTTTTGTGCTGCAAAGGGAACCATTAAGCAAGTAAAAGACAATATATATAAAATGGAAGAAAATATTTGTAAATCATGTATTCTGATAGAAGATCTGTATGCAGAATATATAAAGAACTCTTACAACTCAGTATTAAAAGACACCCTTGGTTAGAGCATGATGCTGATAATACCAAGATCCAGGGTTTGATCCTTGTACTGGCCAGCTCTTGGGGGGGAGGGGAGAGAGGGAGGAGGGAGGGAGGTGTCGGTTTTAAAAAAAAAAAAAAAAAAAAAAAAAAAAAAAAAAAAAAAAAAAAAAAAAAAAAAAGACAAATAACCAAATTAAAAACTAGGTCAAGAAACTGAAAGACATTTCTCCAAAGAAGATATACAAATGGACAATAAGCACATGAAAAGATGCTCAACATAATTAGTCATTAGGGAAATGCAAATCAAAACCACAATCAGATACCACTTCATAACGACTAGTATGGACATAACCAAAAACAGAGACAATATTAAGTGTTTGTGAGGATGTGGAGAAATTGGAACCCCTGTACATTACTGGTAGAAATACAAAATTGTGCAGCTGCTTTGGAAAAGTTTGGCAGTTCCAACACAGCAACTTCACTCCAAGAGAGATGAAAATATAAGTCCACATGAAAAATGGTACATGAATGTCCACAGCAACATTACTCACAGCCAAAAAGTGGAAACAACCCAAATGTCCATCAACTGACACTAGATAAATAAATGTGGTATATTCATACAATAGAATATTATTTGGCCATAAAAACAATGAAGTACTGACACATGGTACAACACAGATGAACCCTGAAAACACATTAAGTGAAAGAAGCCAGTAACAAAAGGCTACATACAGTATGACTCCTTTAATATGAAATATCCAAAATAGGCAAATCTATAAAGAAAGATTAGTGTGCCTCGGTTGTATGTGGGGTGGTGGGGGGTGGGAGGAGGAGATGGGAGTGAAGGGGGATAACCCTTAAAGGATACAGGGTTTCTTTTTTCCGGTGATAGTAAAGCTCTAAAAATTGATTGTGGTTATAGCTACATAACTCTGGGAATATTCTAAAAACCACTGAACTGTACATATACTTTAACCTTAACCACATCATTAGATCAAGCAGCCTGTGATTTCTTTTTTTTTTTTTTTTTTTTTTAAAAAGATGACCAGTAAGGGGATCTTAACCCTTAACTTGGTGTTGTCAGCACCACGCTCACCCAGTGAGCAAATCGGCCATCCCTATATGGGATCCGAACCCGGGGCCTTGGTGTTATCAGCACCGCACTCTCCCGAGTGAGCCACGGGCCGGCCCTAAAACTCTTTTTAAAAAAACAAACGTGTATATTTGCACAAATAAACACTGTAAGGATAAACAAAAATAATTTTAGGGGCCGAGCCCGTGGCGCACTTGGGAGAGTGTGGCGCTGGGAGCGCTGTGACGCTCCCGCCGCGGGTTCAGATCCTATATGGGAAAGGCCGGTGCGCTCACTGGCTGAGCGTGGTGTGGGCGACACCACACCAAGGGTTGCGATCCCCTTACCAGAAAAAAAAGACAAAAAAATAATAATAATAATAATAATTTTAAATGATCACCTACTGATCATGTAAGTGATAAGGGAAGTGGAAGAGCCTGGGTTAGAAACAAAACTTGTCTGAATACAACTCTTTATGTATTTTCACTTTGAAAACATGTATTTTGCAGATAAAAAAGCTATCCCTAAATATGAAAAACAAACTCAATCAGATTAACCTACCTATTTATCAAGCTGTGGACATAACCACTTAGTGACTTAGAAGAAAGTATTTTGGAAGTAACAAGGGTACCAACTCCTGACTCTGAAAACTGGCACTTAATAATTCTTAATGAAACAGATAGTAAGGAAAAGTAATACTCCAAAGAAATCTTAAATTTTATTCTGTAGTGAAATAATTATACAACAAATATTTTGAAAATGTTTTATGCATGTTGTAGGAAAACATAAATGAGCCAACCACTAAGAGGGTCCCCAGTCACCAACTCCTGGTCTTCAGTCTCCTCCCACACTGTACCAGGGTTGCTTTATGTGACCAATAGCATACAGCAGAACTGATGACATGTCACTTCCAAGATTAGGGTGTAAAACACACTGCAGTTTTTGTTTAGGGCTGTTTCTCTCTGAATACTCATTTTGGGAGAAACCAGCTGCCAGGTCATGACCAGTGGTATGGAGAAAACCATGGGTTAAGGAGCCTAAAGAAGCTTCCTGCCAACAGCTTTGAATTTGGATACAGATCTTCCAGCTTCAGTTAACCCTTCAGATAACTGCAGTCCTAGTTCATATCTTATCTGCAACTTCATAAGAGACCCCAAGGCAGAACCACCCAGATAAGCTGCTTCTGGATTCCTGAAACTGAGAAATAATAAATATTCGTTGTTTAGAGAGCTAAGCTTTGTGATAATTAGTTATATGACAGAGAATACAGTTACTAGTTTTATTACCAAAATTTCATTTTAAGAGAATAAAAGATACAAGCATAAAGTCATAGTAAAAATCTTGCAATGTTAACCCAAATGGGAAATAATCAATACCAATTTCTGAATTTTTAAAAAAGTGGTATTTCCTAGTTTTGTTCACAAAAAAAGACCTAAAAGCAATAACTTAATAGCAATGAACACATCCAATGACCAGATAATGGTTTCTAAATACTATTTCCCAGCTAAAGGAATCAGGTTCCCTGGAGGATAACTGACTCACAACTCGGGCTAAAAAAAAAAAAAAAGATTCACCTGAAACATCTATTTGTAGCAGAAAGTAAGGAAGCTATCAAAGATAAACAGGTAGTAGTATCAAAAGAACAAAGAAGCCATTTGAAGGGATTCCCACTGATCGAAGATGGGACAATGGGAGTAACAACAAAAAATAACTGACACAATGAACATATAAAAATCCTTGCATTCCTAACATGTTAAAAAAACAAGAAGAATAAATAAGAATAGAAAGAGAGTTACATCCTTAAAAAAAAAAAAGATTTTGCTGGGCACTACTGAAAGTAACAAGGGTACCAACTCTCTACTCTGAAAATTGGAAAGAATTAAGCATTTATCCTGCCTTTCCTGTACAAACTATTTCAGGATAACCAAATAGTCCTAGTTGAAAAGAACAGTTCTTTCAACAGAATGAAGCTAATAAATGGAGAAAAAATGCTAGGAATTCAGAAATCACTATTTTCAAACCCCCAATTGCAGTGATTTTCAAAGTTTGGTCCTGGACCAGCAGCATTACCTGGGAATCGGTTTTATAAATCACACTGGAAATGTAAATGCTCAGGCTATGCCTCCAACCTACTGAATCAGAAACTCTAGGCATAGGGTCAAGCAGTCTGTGTTTTTAACAAGCTCTCCCAAAGTGATTCTAACACACACTAATGGAAAAATGATGTTAAGTATTAATCGATAATGAATTAGATGAAAGATTAACAGAAAACTTAACAACGAGGTGAAGTTGGGGATGGGAAATTGGGCTATCACCACCTGAGTCCTAATCAATCTTAGGGTAATTAAAAGTAGGACCCGATATTGTGTGTCTCCTGCCATAATACAAAAAGAATGCACATAACCATTTAGTATTTCTTCTCCTCCCCTCCACCAAGTTACACGTGAATGTAACCAATGATATCACAAAAAGAAAACAGACAAATCTATAATGTGGGACATATTTACATAACAATTGATTTCTGCCACAAAGCAAAAGCAGGGGGGAAAAAAAGGCAGGGAAACTACAAAGAGACATGATAAATGTAATAATGTGTACATCTTGTTCTGATCCACGTTCAAAACAAACGAACTGCAAAAATATATTCTCAACTCAACCAGGATAATTTGATTGTGTGTGGTTACTAAGGAATTACTATTTATTTTATAAAATATGATAACAGCATTCTGGCTACCTAAGAAAAATTCATGTTTTTAAAAAGATACTAAGCATGTAGGAAATAAAATGATGTCTGGGATTTGTTTTAAATACTTCAGCAAAGAAAAAAACTATATATGAAGTAAATATGGCAAAATCTTGACCATCATAGAATATGAATGATAGAAAAAGCAAATACCTAATCACTTCCCATCTTCTTAGCACAGCACATGCTCAACAGCTGATATTTGACAGTGTGCCTGTTCTCATTAGAAATGCCTCTGTAAAATTGGCTGAAATATCCTCAAGAGTGTGTATTTTCTACCTGTCTTTCAAAATTACAGTGCCTCCTGAAGTTAGAATGCATCTTTCACATCTGAAAGCTATGTCACTCACATCAGAAAGCTATGTCATGCTTGCTTTTACTATAATAATCATTTATATTAATATAAAAATATTCCCACTGCATCATTTTAAGTAATCGTTAGAAATAGCAACACTAATGCAATAAAATGGCATTAAAAACCCTTTTCTTCCCTAAATTTTTTCAGGCCCTCACAATAAAATTAATCCCTACAACTAGATTATCTAAGGTGGAGTTCTTTCAACAGGTTCAAGTGTTGTAAGGCCAAAAAAAGAGACACCATACATATCAAAAAAGCGTTAAGAGTTTTAGTTAATATCCACAAAATCACAATTACTTCAAATACCGAGAAAATATTAATTTAAGAAGAAGTGAATTTTTTATGTAAGAAGAATAATTACTGGGTATTGGAAATGTCTTCTATATAAATCTTTCTACTTTTATTATTCCTCTATAAAATGATAGCAATTAATCTCTCTAAATTAACTGGATGGGAAAACAAGAATCCTTTAGCATTTTCAAAATTAAAAGATTTCCTTTTAAGATAAGTATGTTTGTTTGAATGATAGCAATTAATCTCTCTAAATTAACTGGATGGGAAAACAAGAATCCTTTAGCATTTTAAAAATTAAAAGATTTCCTTTTAAGATAAGTATGTTTTTTTTTTTTTTTTATATGAAGGCTCTTTAAGAACACAAGCATAGGCTATTATACAGCTCCCTCCCTCTCTTTCTTTTTTTTTTTTTTTATATGAAGGCTCTTTAAGAACACAAGCATAGGCTATTATACAGCTCCCTCCCTCTCTTTCTCTTTTTTTTTTTTTTGCTGCTGGCCAGTACAGGGACCCAAACCCTTGGCCTTGGTGTTATAGCACTGTGCACTAACTTGGCATTGGTGTTATAACACTGTGCACTAACCAACTGAGCTAACCAGCCAGCCTACAACTCCCTCATTTTAAAGATGAGGAAACATCCCTCTAATAAGATTCTGAATTTGGTTTCTTAAGTAAGTTGTCCTCTGCTTCAAAAGAAATTCTAAACTTTGGGGAAATAATTGTAGGTTAGTATAAAATAAGGTCAGCAATCTAGTACCTTAATCTAGCAAACACTCTTTTTCAAATTTAACGTCAAATTTAAATTCAGATTTCATATTGAAAACTCCAAAAATTGATTATTCTTTTTGAAGAGGATACTTAACAATCAGAGAATATGCTCAGAGGATGTTGAGCATTTCTCCTCCCCTGTGTTTCTTCATAAAAATTCACTTGAATATCTTAAGCAATGCTAGTCATCAAAAGTCAATGCACAGTCTCATCAAAAGTCAAAACTGTACCACGAATGTTTATTCATTATAAACTGAGCTATTTAATTCATGCAGCATGCAGATTACAAGCAAACACAGGCAGGATTATTCTCACCTTTACCTGCTCTATATGTCTTGGCTTGATTCACGGGCATGGGCGTCATGGGGATTGGGTATAAAGGCTTGAGGGAATTAAAAAAAAATAAACATTAGGCTCTTTTGACAATAAGAATGTATTTTGAAAAATACAGCTAGATAGGAGGAATAATACCTATAACACTTTAGGGTGACTATAATTAACAACCACTTATTATATTAGCTAGAAGAGAGGATTTCAAATGTTTCCAACCCAAAGAAATGATAAACGTTTGAGTTAATGGAAAAAAAACCAAAAAACAAAAAAACCAAAATCAGTGCTTGCCAGGATTTCAGGGGTTGAGAGAGGGAGGCAGAGAGAGAAAGATGCATAGGTGGAGCACAGAGGATTTCTAGGGCAGCAAAACTATTCTATATGATACTGTAGTGGTGAATACATGACATTATGCATTAAGTAAAACCCATAGAACTATAGAATACCAAGTAGGAACACTAATATAAAATTAATAATATATCAATATTGATTCATAATTATTACAAATGTACAACACGGACGGAACATGTCAGTAATAAAAGAAACTGCGTATGTGGGTGGGGAGGGATAAAGGAGCTATCTGTACTTTCTGCTCAATTTCTCTGTAAAATTAAAATGATTAAAATTAAAATTTTTAAAAACAAATAAATAAGAATGGATTCTATCATTCTGTTTTATACTGCTAGAGAGCTAGCTTTGAGTTTCATGATTCACTGAGTCATTAAAAAATAAAATCACACCCACACCTAAAAGAAAAAGCCCCAAACTAAAGTAAATCTAAACCATCTTTCTCACCAGAAAACATTCTCTGACAACACACCCAACCACTCCATGCCTCCCTCTATCAAATACTTCTGTGTTGCATCGCTCCCTCAAGTCACTGCAAACCTAAAGGGTCCTTAGTGTCAAATACCAACAACTAGGGAGGCTAAGTGAACATCAATTCTATGACTTACTTGCACGCCTGGACTCACTGGGACTGGATACATCATATTTGGTGCAAAACAAACAGGTTGAGTGTAAACTGGAGTTGGCTGTTGATGACCCACCATAGATGGGCTAGGTTGTGCTTGAGGCCGAGGCGAAGTTGGGGTGGTAGAAGGCTTTGGCTACCAAAAATAAAATAAAATTCAACCATCTCAAGGTGAAAAGTTGACTATTACTGCAATTTAAAGACTGATTTTTCCCAATTTTCCTAATTTTACTTGCTTGTAACTATTCTGTTATTGAAAAAACAAACAGAAAATAAACTTCTATGTTTCAAATAAAAGAAAAAATGCCTTAGCAGAAACTTAAAGTAAAACTTTGCCAAATAAAAAATACTAAAAATAGCAGCAGTGATTTTTAAGGAACTGGAGGAAGTGTCTTTAAAAATTAAAAAATAAATCTATCTTATGAATTCAGTAGAATAATAACAGTATATCTATGAACCTGACAGCCTAGTTTGCCAACCATCTTCAAATTCTGAGTCCGAAAGTTTCAAAGATTTGCTCAGGATCGTAACAAATTGACGACAAAACAATGACCTTTTTTATGGCTAAAAAATATTCACTAATGACTATACAAGAAAAAGAAAATTGTTTTAGCATATTACAACTGAATTTAGATGGCAGGTATAGGACAAGAAATAGTACTATTCACAATATATATATATATTTTTTTTCAGAGATTAGATCACTTCATAGAAATTAATAAGCTTACCTGAGAAAAGGAACGAGGGTTGAACTCCTTTGCATTGGGATTCAATGTTGATTTCCTTACTTGCCTAAACCAGAAAAAAATATAAAGGCCAGTGAAATCTGCACACCAGTTTTAGAGAAACCTTCCATATGTGACAATTTTTAAAAAAACTGCTAAGCATATATGAAGTCATTATCAATCCTCTTTATTAAAACACATACACACAAAAGTATATTGCCCACTCAAACTGATCAAGAAACTGGTCATAAAAGGACAAATTATTTTTAAAGTTTGAGTAATATACAACTGCTGCTATTAAACAAAATCAACAAATATTTGAAATGAAAAGACAGTAGTACCCCTTACAAAATATTTTTAAAAGCAATCCTTAACATACCAATTCTCTAGCGTGCAGTAATTTTTAATGTGATATTTTCTACACGACATACCTTGGGATATTTTTAAAAGCAATCCTTAACATACCAATTCTCTAGCGTGCAGTAATTTTTAATGTGATGAGATATTTTCTACACGACATACCTTGGGAAAAAATCACGGCTCTAATAAAAATTTTTGCCTCAAATCAAATTGGGGAGAAAAGCAATCCCCAACTTATCAACAAGCTAGCTGCATTCCAAAAGTTCAGCTATACCTGGGTGGTTTGGTACTTAGAGCACATAAATCAATGGTAGGTACATTCTTGGGCTGGCCCATAGAAATCCACTTAATTGGTAATACACCAAATGTGCATAATTAAGTCTATCTTAACAGATAAAAATTAAACACTGCTTGTGATGGAAAACACTTTAAATTCCAAGTAGGGCCACCAGATACTTCTCTCTTCTGACAGTGGCAGTTCTTAGTCCTAGCAGCACAGTGGGAGTGAGTGCTGACTGAAGACCAGGGGAGACAGATCCCCAAAACGGGTAATTTATCAACTGGTGTACATTATAGAAAACGCTTTTTTAAATTAATGCCTAGTTTTTTCACCCTTGGCTACAAAAACAGGGGAGTAGGGAAGAGTAATGCAGTGTGCAAAGACCAAATTTACTTAACACAACATTTGTTTAGACCAGTTGTTTGCAAATTAAGGACTGCTTATAAAGCAGTCTAAAAGTCCAGATAGATTCTTGAGTTAAAAAAAAAAAAAAAAAAAGTTAACTGAGTAACAGGATGTGCTTAATTCCAGGTTTACTCACTCAGCTGCATCTTTCTTCTCCTCTTTATCATCTTTCTCTTGTTTACATGCTGGACTGGAAGTCTGAACCCCTTGGGATGTGACCTCAGGGCCCCTCTTGTGCTCCGTATTACTAAGTATTGAAGGGGAAATGCTGGGGCTATTCGGCTTGCTGCTGCCACTGGTGCAGTTGCTGCTATTATTTTCAATGAAAGAATCCTTAGCACTTGGTTCAACTTTGTCTTTGATCAAATCTCTTGATTTTTCTCCCTCTCTATTTTTGTTTAGTAGTTGATCCACAGATTCAGAAGTAGAACTTGGCTGTAACTAAATAAAGGAAATAATTATACTTAAATATTTTAAATAACTTTAGTAGTCAAATTTCACCATAAGCACAAGCAAAGTAATATCTTTAGGCATGAATGTTTTGCAGAAGGCTTTTTTCATACTTTAAGAGTAACTTTTTTTTATAAGGTAACAATAACAGAATGTCTGTTCAATACAATCATAGTCATCAAAGCACTCAAATGTCCTAGCCTCAAAAGTTAAATATTTACTGAGTGCCTACCACGTGTCAGAAATTGTGCCCGCTGAGTATGGAAAATATGAAATAGTTCCTACCCTCCTAGACATACCATCTGAATGAGCTCAGACACTTAAAAAAACACAGCAAATGTTATGGGATCCTATAGAACAAGCAAACTTATAGGAAGAGAAGGCTTCTTGATGGAAGTGTCACCTAGTCCAAAGTATGAAAGATGTATAAGAGAGGTGGTTTGGAGAAGGAAATAGTCTAAGCAAAAGAAACAGCATGCTTAAAAATCCAGAGGAAAGGGAGAAGATGGCTCCATAACAAAATAGAAAAGCACTAGTGGCTGAAGCAAGGATGGAGCACACATGCATGAGTCAAGAAACAACAAAGTCTTAGATGACAGATGTGCTAACTACCCTGATTTGATCATCACACACTGTATTTATCAAATTATCACCCATAAATTTTACAATTATTATGTGTCAATTAAAAACTTTTAAAAATTAAAAAAAAAACCCCAACAAACTCACTCAGGAACAACAAGATAAGGAACTCTAAAGCCATGTTAAGGACTCTTTTATCTCAGGGTAATGAGAAGTCACTGAGGAATTTTAAGCAGGATATAGTACTGAGCAGATTTATAGTTCAAAAAGATAAGTGCAAAAGCTTTGTGGGAAATGACCTGGAGGAAGGCAAGTGTAGATGCGGAGAGAACATTACAGAGGCTGAACTAAGCCTTGGGCTTAGTGGGCTTGCAGTGGGTTGGAAGGTAAGAAGTAGATGGAATTAGAGAGAGACCTGAGTAGATATGTTGGTCAATCAGACCTTCTAAACCCACAAGGAAAGAAAGAAACTGCAAAACACAAGAACCATCAAGAACAGCAGAAAACAAAAATGTTAGTGAGATAAGTGACAGGGTTTTCAAGTTTGCAGACCAGAAGAAATAAATGCTACCACTGGCAGAAAATGATTTAAGATGCCATCCTCCACAAAAGAAAGAAAACAGGAACAGGTGAGGGAAGTGACAAGAAAGAGAGAAGGAAAGGGGCGGCAAGTAGCAGCATAAGTAAAATTAGAAATGAGAACAGATAAAAGCAGTAGCCCTGGGTGGTGAGAATAAGCTAAAGAGAACCTGCCAGGCAGAAGGGGTCACCTCAAGGTTGGAGAGAGAAAAGATATGTCCTCAGTCTCAGCATGGGCCAACTAGTTTCACTACTGAGGAGGCCCTTGGTGTCATGGCAAACAGCATTATACAACGCCGAGGCTTCTCAAGCTTCACTGCATCACCAATATAGATATAGAGTCCTCAAGCAGCTGAGTGTAAAAGTTGATAGGGGCATTTATTTGGGCCCAGTGGCAATTTTTAAGTCACAATATAATAACTGAACATTTAAGCCTGCATTTGTTCACAAAAATCTTTAGTAGAGGCCACACACATAACAGACCAACTGTCTACTGAGGAAGACTAAGAGAGTATTTATCACAAGGTCCTTGAGTGAAGGCAAAAATTAAACTTTTGTTGTTGCTATTAATCTCATAATGGTAAACATCTATACTACTTACTATGGGTTGGACACTGTTCTAAACTACTTGCGGACTCATTCATTTAGTCTTTAAAATGACTCTATTTGATGTAGATACTATTATTGCCACCTCACAAATGGCAAATCTATAGGGAAATTAAGTGCAATTCATGCTTTAAAAACTGTATTTCAACCGGTCCACTCACTGGCTGAGTGCAGTGCGGGCGTGACACCGAGGGTTGCGATCCGTTGCCGTTCGCGGTACGGGCGCGACACCGAGGGTTGCGATCCCATTACCAGTCACGAAAAAAGACAAAAAGAAAAAAAAAACACTGTATTTCCTCTCTACAGTTTACTAAAGCTAAGGGAAAACTGAGATTCTTATGTGACCCAGAGAACAAGAAAATGTTGAAAGCCACTACAATGTTGGGTCATCTACATTTTGGTAATAAGAATTAACATGTACCGAGTACATACCATGTGCACAGCACTATGTTAAATGCTCTACAGGCATTATCTCATTTAGCTCTCACAAGTACACTATGAAGCAGATTCTTTAATTATCCCTTTTTGGCTTGGGGGAAACCGATGACATGCCCCAATGTTATACACATGGTGTGCTGGGCCAAGTTACAAACCCAGGTCTATTCACCTCCAAAACCCAAACTGGTAACCCCATAACAGATCAAATTACTAGCAATTCTTACACAAATAAAGCTATCTTCTCTCTGCACATAGCCATATTAGAACCTGCAGATGGCTTTCAAGGAAAAGGAAAAAACCCAAACAACAAAAACCCACAGCGTATTCCTATTTCTGTTTCAATGAAAGACTAGAGATTTTTGTGAACAAATGCAGTTCAGAGCCACGTGCATATCATAAGGGAGGCTCTGATGATTCATTCATTTAACAATGCTGTGTGCACTATGCATTCGTTACTATTCAAAGCACTGCTAGAAGTTTAAAAACCAGATAGCTGGGCCTGTCATCAACTAGCCATGTGACTCTGGGCAAATTATTTAACTTCTTTTCACCTCAGTTTCCTAATATATACACTACAGATAATAAAATTTACTTCAAAGGGATGTTAGGACAATAAAGGATTTAACATATAAGCACTTTGAACGGTGTCCGGTACATAGGAAATACTCACTAAACAGTAAGCTAATAACATTATTTTATTTATTTATAACAATTATAAAACTGACCCTCAAACATGTTTTTCAAAACCGTTTCTTTGCTTTCAAGTTCACTTATGGATTATGGAGTTATCCATAAAGAGGCTTAATAATACAACTGATTATTCAAGCTCCCCAAAAGTAGTAAGACTAGAAGTCCTAAAAAGATAGACTTTTAATGCTGCTCCTACCTGGAATGTAAGAGTCAAGCATTAATGAAGGTTTATAGAAAGCTGTGAGCTATGGGCCGACCCCATGGCGCACTCGGAAGAGTGCAGCGCTGGGAGCGCAGCGGTGCTCCCGCCGCGGGTTCGGATCCTATATGGGGATGGCCGGTGCGCTCACTGGCTGAGCACAGTGCTGGCAACACCACACCAAGGGTTGCGATCCCCTTACCGATCACGAAAAAAGACAAAAAAAAGAATGCTGTGAGCTATAATACAAAACTAAAACATTTCTATTAAATAAAGAGGTATAGTCTTTTAAAATACATTAACTCCAATCAAGACAGTATGGCACTGATACATGGATAAGACATATAGATCAACAAAGGAGAATTGAAAGCTGACTAATAAACTTTCACTTTGTAGTCAACTTTCTTTCAACAAGTATGTGAAGACAATTTGGTGGGGGAAAGAATAGTCTTCTCAACAGATGGTGCTGGGACAACTGATTCCCACATGCAAAAGAATGAATTTGGACCCCACCTCACTCTACATAAATATTACTCAAAATGGATCATAGCAGTCTCCTCAACAAAGAGTGCTGGGAAAATTAGACATCCACACGTAGATGAATGAGGCCAGACCACCATCTCTCACCATATACAAAAATCAACTCAAAAAGGATTAAAGACTTTTTTCTGGCCGCCGACATCTTCGCCATCGCCAGCATCGCCAACCCCGACTGGATCAACACCGGGAAGTCCGTGGCCCGAGCACTACAACCAGCACAACTCCAGCAGCTACCTGCAGCCACCAGCAAGAAGAGGAACTCAAAAACCCTGATGGTGAGTCAGAATTTCTAGTGTCCTTGCTTGCACCAGGGGTAGCTGTTACTACCCAGGTGGATTGCTCTGAAGGATTGCTGAGACCTTGAAGGGGACTCTCAAAATACATGCACTGAGGTTTGGACCACGTGCCATTTTGTGAGATTTACAAAATCCTCCCTGGGAAGAAGCTGCTGGGAGTGGCTGCCACTCGGCACCCGGCCTCGCCGCCGCCGCCCTCAACACCGGACCAGGCCGCGCGGCCCCGCTGCCGGGACTCGGGGTCCGGCAGCTGCGGTATTTGCCAGGTAGGGGGCTGTCGCCTCCCCGGCCATGGGCGCCGCTGG